AAGTATTTCAATTATTATAATGTATAATTTTTATAGTTTTAAAATATTAATTTATTAATAATACTATTTCAAGTCAAGTCAAGTTTGAGTCAAGTTTAAATTGAGTCGAGTTAAATATTTAACTCAACTCGAATTTGATTTGACTCGCAAATCATCGAGTCAAAAAATATAAACTCAACTTGATTTAAACTTGACTCAGCTTATCTGACTCGTGAGTTAACTTGACTCATCCAGAACTCTAGTTAGCGAAAGTTATGTGATTAGCACAGTAAAGTGTAATATAAAATCAGCCAGCACATAAATTTAGCCAGATCCTTAAATATAATAACTCAGCATCTAAGCTGGCCTGAAACTGACAAACTAATAGAAATACTCAGGTTTTCTGCCAGTTTTATGATAGCTCTAGGATACTATCAAGTTGCTAGCATAGTGACAGCTTAGATCTTCTAAATCACATGTTCTAAAGATCAGCCTGAATTATGTCATAGTGCTGATTAAATTTAGACGTAGATTTACTACGTAATCTGACACAATATTTTTTTACCACATTTTAGTATCTAAAAAGACAATTAAATAGGTCATATTCTTATCATAGAGCCAATATCCAAATTGACACAGAAGGCCATCATCTCTACTATAAAAGCTGGCTTTAAACAAGAAAGTATCAAATTGGTAATGAAAAGACTGTAGAACATAATTAATGTAAATTATAATAGAAAGTATTTATAACACTACAAACACTAATAAAAATAGGCGTATTCAGGTTATTTAGTCATAGTTATAATTAGATTATTTAATCACATAATTACAAATAATAAATAGGAAGTAGGAAAAGAAATTCAATTTCAAAGGTAGAAAATATAATAAGAAAAATAGGTAGGTATAAAAAATTATCATAATTAAGTTATTTAATTAGACTATTTAATCATAATTAGATTATTTAATTAAACTATTTAATCATAATTAAATTATTTAGTTATATTTAGATTATTTATTCACAATTAGATTATTTTGTTATATTTAGATTATTTATTCACAATTAGATTATTTAGTTATATTTATATTATTTAGTCATATTTAAATTATTTAGTTATATTTAGATTATTTAGTCATATTTAGATTATTTAGTCATATTTAGATTATTTAGTTATATTTAAATTATTTAGTCATACCTAGATTATTTTATTACTAAATAACCTAATCTAAGCCGTTTATGACTAAATAATATAATTATATTATTTAGTCATAAACGATTATTTTTATTATATATTAATAAATTATAAATTATATTTTTAGTTAGTATTTTGATAAATTAATTATATAAAATTATATAAATTATATAATATATTATGTATATATTATATATAAAATATGTTGATAAAATTAGAATTCTAGACAAGTTGAGTTAACTTACGAGTCAGATAAGCTGAATTGAGTTTAAATCAAGTTGAGTTTATATTTTTTGATTTGATGATTTGCGAGTCAAGCCAAATTTAAGTCAAGTTAAATATTTAACTCAACTCGATTTAAACTCGACTTGATTCGAGTTGACTTGAAATAGTATTATTTTTAGAGATGTTAAAATTCAGTCTGGTCTTAATCTAGTCCTGAAACTCCCAGTTCATAGGACTTAGGTCCTAGAACTGGATTCTAGAATCAGATCCTGAAACTGCAGTTTTAGGACTGCGGTTTTATAGAAAAATAATTGTTTAAGAAGAATGATAAGAAATCATTTAACTTGAACAATAAAAAAATCATTCAAGAAGAACGATGAAAAATCGTTTGACTTGAATGATAAAAAAAATCATTTAAGAAGAACGATGAGAAATCGTTCAAGAAGAACAATGAGAAATCATTCAACTTGAACAATAAGAAATTGTTTAACTTGAACAATAAGAAATCATTCAAGAAGAACGATAAGAAATTATTCAAAAAGAACGATGATGAATCGTTCGACTTGAACGATAAAAAAATCATTCAAGAAGAACAATAACGAATCGTTCGATTTGAACGATAAAAAAAATCATTTAAGAAGAACGATGATGAATCATTCACTTTTCCGATCTTTTTTTTATATTTAAATATTTTTAAAAATTTAAAATTAACTCATAACTTGATTTGAATTTGACTCAATTTGAATAAATTCAAGTCAAAATCAAATCGAGTTAAAATTGAGTCGAGTCAAATTGAGTCGAATTTAAAATTTATATAACTTGAATTAAATTAAATTAAAAGATTTTATAAAATAAATTTGACTCGATTGGACTCAAAAAATAAGAGTCGAATAGAGTTAATCTTTAAACTTAACTTGATTCGACTCATTCAGAACTCTAGATAAAATATATGTAATTCTTATTTTTCATATATAATAATTATGTATATATTATATATTTTTGTAAATATAAAACATATTATTTTTATATATATTTTTATAAATAAATTTTTTATAGAGAATTTAAAATTTAAATATTTATTTCAAAAATACTAATTATAAATTAAATATAAAGTTTATTAAAATTTTATTTGCAATATGAAAATTAAATATATAAAGTGATAAAATTTATAATTATTTTACTAAATACTAGTAAATATTTTATTAATTATTTAAGGTAAAATTTATTAATTAACTTATTAAATTATTTTATTTAATAAAAATAACAGTTTTTTTGTTAAAATTCTTAAATATAATTTAGTTTTAAATTTTTAAACTAAGGTTTTTTTTGTTATATAATATATTATAAAACTTTTAATAAATATAGTTTTGTGAAATATAATCTTTTTTATAAATTGATTAATATTAGTTTATTTTATTAAAAAATTAATTAAAAAAGTATTATATATTAAATTGTCTAATAATTTATTAATAATACAATATATATTTTATATTAAAAACTTATTAAAGTTATTATATATTTATATTCTAATAAAAGATTAATCAATAAGAATTATAATTTTTTTAGTTTATTAGAAAGGTAAATAGAAAGTATATATTAATATTTATTTAATAAAAAATTAATTCTAAATTTTAAAGATATAATTCTTTAGAAATTTTTTAATAAAATACTTTTAAAGTTTTAATATATATTTTATTAATTATTTTTAGTAAAATATATATTAAAATGATAAAATTATTAGATCAGATAAACTAACAGAACTAATAAAATTGATATAATTATTATTATTATTTTAGTATTATTATTTATTGTCAATAGTGATCTGATATAATTATTATTATTAATTTTATTTAATTATATTTTTTATAAATAGGATATATAGAATATAAAATATCTTGAAAAAAGAATATGATTTAATATTTAATACAATTTTATTAATTATAATAATAATAATAATAAATAAATAAAAATAATATTTATAATTAAAAATATATATAATTTTATTCTTGTTAATAAATGAACTTCTTAACTAATAGTATATAATTTTGATTAGATTTAAATCATAGTTATTAAAGTTAAAAGTATAAAAATATATTTTTAAAATTTAAAAGATATTTTATTAATTTGTTTTTTTATAAAATTATTATTAATTTTAAATGTGTATTTTATTAATTTTTATTTTCTTAATAAAATATTTATTTGTTATATAAAATATAATTTATTATTATAATAAAATAATCTATTTACAAATTCTAAAAAAAAATTCACGTAAATCGAATTTCTGATGATTACAGCATGTGATTTTATATCGAAATTTATTATTTAAAAATTTTTTAACTTTGTAATCCATAATTTTCTATATCAAAAACACACATCCAAATAATTCCTTTTTACTTTGATAAGAATTAAATGAAAATATAAAACTTTCATTTTATTTAATCCATTTATTTGTACTTTTACACGGTCAAGATTATAACTTCCAATAATAATAATTGTTTTATCAATCTTTGTCAAGATTTTCTTTATCGTTAAATAGTGAAGTAATAGTTTTTTCGATCCATACGATCTCTACTTCCTCTTGCCAATTATTATTTAGATTTAATTTTTCAACACCTTCTTGGTTATCTCCATCAATCTAATGTGATATATGTTTTATCGATTAATTTGGAATTAATTTTAATATAGGGAAGTTGAATCTTGTGAATTACAATAATTATTAGTATAATTATAATTAAAATAATTTTTTATTGTTTCTAGTAATAAAATAAACCATTTTCAAAATTAACAAAAATACAAAAATTGTGCTACAGTAAATGAGTAATTCAATTTAGAATTCGTGTTTAATAATAATTAATTTTAAATTATTTAATCAATATAAAATTTGAAATTAAGCTAGTTGGATTTAACAAATTTGTTTTAACTTTTCATACTATATTTAAACGTGCTGGACTGCAAGAAACTGCAAGCGTATCAAATCTGAGCAGATCAAAAGTATCTCGAAAACTCCAAGTTTGGAAAAGGAAAAAAGAAAATGCAAATGTCGATCCTATGATGAACAAGTTACACATCACACAATTATCGAATGGAACTTCCTAAATAGTAACTTGTACCGCTTTTTTTTAAAGCACCAATTTTTTTTTTTTTTTTTTTTAGCGCAAATCTTTTTTCTCTTTCTTAACAAAAACTTTAATAATTTTTTTTTCAAAAAAAAAAAAAAAAAAATGACAAAGGAACAACTTCCCGCCGACTGTTTAAATGATATCTTTAGTCATTTGGACGTAAAAAGTTTATCCAATTGCACATTTGTTAACTGGCTCTGGTGTGAAATTTCAGTTCGATTGTTGTGGGCAAGTATCAGGAATTTTAACACTTTAATTGCTTGCCTTCCTAACAAATCGAAAGAGATTTTATATAGAAATGAGATAATCATTTCAACACCGACTTCAAGGCACCCATTATTTAATTACGTAAAATTTGTTAGGGAATTCTCAATAAAAGAAATTTGTGAAGGAATATCATATCTTCTCAAAAATGATCCGTCACAAGTCTTTCACGATAGTAAAAATATTATACTAGCACAAGAAATATTCAAAATGTTTATGAGTCAAAATTCTTTGAAAAAATTTCATTTTTATCCTAATTTAAATTACATTCCAGATATACCATTTGTCACATATCCTGGGGCAAAGAATTGTTTGAAAAACCTTTCAGAGTTAACCTGTGGTTCAAGTATCAATCCTAAATATTTTTATCAGCTATCTCAACTATGTCATAAATTAGAAACATTAAACGTAACCTTTGAAGAGGTGATTTCAAATGAATTTGGCGACTTACTTTCCGTTCAACAAAATCTAAAGCATTTGCACGTAACTCACACCTCAAAATGCAAAGATTTGACGGAGATAGGTCCTTATTTAAATAGAATTCCCCCCACTTTAACCGTCTTTGTTCTCTATGGGGAATTTCATCATATGTCATTGGATTTCGTTAACAGGTTCTCCAATTTACGAGAGCTGGTATTATTTTTTTGTCATTCTAATTACTTTCGAAATTTACAATACACTTCCTTTCCAGAGTTACGAATCTTGGAGTTTAAATATGAATGTCCGAAACATGATTATTTGGTTAACTTCCTAGAGATCAACGGGATGAATTTAACAGAGATTCGTATATGTAGGTCAAAGGATTCATTAAATTTGGCCATTGCTCAATTTTGTCCGAATTTGAATTCCTTGTACACGATATTTAGGTATGGGGAAGTGGAAACGTTGAAATTAATCTTGACTAGGTGTCAAAAGTTAGAAAGTTTAAAGATCTTGTGCGGTAATTACCATTTGAATGAATGCAAACTGTTGGAGATTGTCGCAAATCATTCATCTAATACCTTTCATGAGTTAAAAGTATGTGCAGTTCATGTACAATCAGAATTATTTTCAAAAGAATTAGAATCTATCTTGATAAATCCCATACCACCAAAATTAATTTCGTTGGTCATTGTCAAAGGTATTAAAGGATTTAGCGCTTTAAAAGTTAATATGGAAGCAATCGAAACATTTATAAATTTGGGTATCATTAAAAAATTCAGAATTGCAAATTTTGGGGAATAGAAATTAAATATATGTAAGATATGATTCATATGTACTTAATAAATTTTTTTTTTTTTTTTTTTGAATTTTAAGAATGTTGGACCCTGAAATTTTAATACCCTTTTTTCATAAGCATGAACTTAAAATGATTGATAACATGGGGTATCAATAGTATTATAAATGGCGGTAGAAGTAAAAATCTGCTGTTAGTTGCCTTAGGTATTCCATCAAGAATTAAGGACCGACGTTTGAAAATCATTATTAAAAATAGATAAATTTACGTACAAATAAGGTATAGTTGCCTGGAAAAACGTCGAAATATTCGACTTTTGCCATCTGTTAAATGAGTTTTCCAGGTAACCATAACGATAGCCAATAAGAAATGAGATCAAATTTTGAATGAATGTCTTTAGGTTCTAGTATTGAAACAGCTGGAGCATTGGCATATATGCATTCAAATAATGTTCTAATTGAGATTTTGTTTCAGATATAAAGTTTTTCCTTTACTAATTATTTATTTTTCGCGCGTGACAATAGAAGGAAAGCTTAATACCTTATTTTCTTTATGTTTGAAAAAATAATTATCCATACGTTTGATCAGATTTAGATTATAGTTATCAATAATAACGGATCATAATAATCCGATTAGAATAAACAGGTTTTCTTAATTCTGTTATAAATTGCTTATATGCAGTCAAGCATTTATAACAATGGCAGTACTCTAAATTCGAATTTTGTTATTAACAGGCTTATATGATTTGACTTGATGATATTTAATTAAAAGAAATCTTTCCTTTCTACTAAAAAATCTAACTATGTCTAAAAGTTTATTTTTTTTATATTGACCTACCCTCCCGTGAAACTTTTCTCACATTCGCATACCAATAATTTTTCACCTTATCGGCAGAGTGAAGGACGTGGAATCTATCATATAATTTGTAACATATACGCGTCCAAGAAGTTTGACCACGGGTTGTCGTGGTTATTGGTACCAGGTAACTGATGAAAGATTTCTCCCGTTCCGTCAAAGGTCTTAAACATACTAAATATACAAGAAGTAGAAAGTAAAAATGAAATATAAATATTTAGTAAATCTTTTCAAACTTGCGGCGAAACTGATTAAAAAATCAGGTTTACTTACCATGTTTTAGATGATTATTCCAACTTTAATAATTAGGAAATAAAAAAAGAAAGTATGAATCCTCTTGTTGCTTGATGAAAAAAAAAAAGCAAAATAAACTTACCGTCTGCTAATTTGTCTTGGCGTATACATCGGTAACCGTTGTCGACTGATCATTACATATCGGTTGGGCATCGCTTGCCACTTCAACATACATTCAACGATGATGTTGTCACTCTACCAAAGAAATAAATATTTTGAATCAACAAATTTTTTTGAATGAAAGACAATTCAATAACATACATTTTGATCAAATATTGCTACTCTTGACATTTGTAAATAAATTTTTATTGATTAAAAAAAATAGATTTAAGACGAATTACCAATTTTTTTATTCAAATAACTTTCCGACTCGCCTTTCTTTTTATTTTTTTTTTTTTTTCGGTTATCAATAAATCACAGGGTGCCAAAAGCAAGAAAAGCTGACTTTGATCGTCAATGCTCATGTAATCTTATATAATCAAACTAGGGTTCTTATTCTTTATTTCACATATATTTTTCCCGTCTTTTTGATTGAAGTTAAAGGGTTCACCAAATTTAATATGCATATAAACAAGGTTTCGCACTTTACCAAATTTACAAACAATAAAAGCGTTTAAGGAAAAAAAAATTACATAAAAGTTTAAGGAGGGAGCAAATCATCATTTTACGATAAATAAGGTTTAAATAGCAATCTTTTTACCGACTCCTTTCTCATCAGAAAACCTTTTAATTACATAAATGCAACGAAATCATATGGCGTTTCAAAGTTAACCTTATTATTTTTTTTTTTTTTATTAGTTAATAATTATTTTTAGCTTTTGTTTCCATTCGCGGTTTCCTTGAAATAATAACATGGTTACACTACTTTGACTGTAATGTGTCATGCTGATCACAATTTTTTCGCGCTCTAAAAAAATTTTATTTAATTTATTTATTTCAATAAATCCACTGCATATGCTTTTTTTTTGCTAAAATTCAAATATTTTTTACACTAAAAAATAAATATGTAAAAGTTTTTTTTTTTTTTTTATAGGTGTGAGGCGAAGATTTAAAGTGGATAAGGAATGATAATGTTATAATCATCTCAACTGAGATGACTCTAATAGAACTTCAATCAACTTTCATTTTTGATATTATATTCTTTTTTTTCACAGAAAGGACCGACTCTATCATCTCATTATTTAATAAATCTTCATAAGTTGAACGTTTTGAATGGGCTTTTTTTAAAATTTGTAAAAATTCTACTCCTTTAAAAACTTAAATTATTTAAAGATGCTTCTGGAAATTCACAACGAAATTAAATACGAAATGAGATTAGAGAAAAGAATTATATCGAAAAAAAAAAAATAATTAACTATAATCAAAGAGAAGAAAAAGGAAAACGAAGTAAAAAAAAAATTAAATCCTATTGTAATTAAATTATACAATACGTCGGTGTTCAGAATGTTCTTTAAATAATCATCAGTTTGAAATCTACCGTTTTTATTCCATCCATATATCTTCAACAAGCGGAATGAAGATAAAATTGGTGCGTCTTTATCTTTACCAACTTGAGTCTGATTTTTAATTGTTTACAAATTTAGCAAGAATCGTGTTGTGAAACATTTCAATCTAAAAATAACGATTAAATTAAACTGCAAATGGAAAGGAAAGGAAAAAACCAAATGTTTAAAATAAAAGATTCTTTATGGTATAACGTTCCATTCGGACCACGCGTAAACATACCTTGAGAATGTGTTGTTTTCAGTGATTACTAAAATTATCAAAGATAGATTCATCATATGACTGATAAACAACCGTACCGTAAAAGGCGGAAAAAAAAAAAATTACAATAAAAAGGATTTTCGTATTGTGTTGCGAGAGATGCTGATTTTGAACTTTTGAAATAAATTAAAAGAAAAAAAAAAAATTTCTCATGAGGAAATTTAACGGGGTCAGCGTACTACTATTCCTTTAAAATCTTGATTGTGACAATACATTAAGTTACAATCAGAATGTGGTGTAATATTTTAATTCTAGCGAAAGAGGGAACATTAAATTTGAATAAAAATAAAAATGCGAACGTAAAGGTAGGGTGCAGCGTGTGTAACATCCCTTTTTAGCGCGTAGGATCTTTTGGATCAATTTTTTCCCAAGTAACATTTTGGTCTATTGTAATATTAAGATGTTTACTACTAAAAAAAAAAAATTCAAGGGGATAAAATCTTTGTCGGAAATGTTATTACAAAATTGTAATCAATACTGGATCAAGGAGATGTTCACACGCCACGCGTTCAAATAACAACTGTCAACTTTTTTGAAAACATTTAATGCTTGCAATATTGCACTACCAAACAAAAGTCAATATATATATCCATTAACCTTAAATAGCCTTAATAGAACCAAAACATGAATTCCTTAAATAGAGCCATTGATAGAATCGATAACATGACCGCCAAACCATTTTATTTTCATAATACTCGTTAAATCACATCTTTTATTAGATATAACAAGATGTTTCATCAACTTCCTAGTGATTGTTTAAAAGAAATTTTTGAATTTTTGGTGAGAGATAAAAAGACCTTATATTCATGCTTACTAGTTAACCGTCTTTGGTGTGTGGCGGTTGTTCCATTTTTATGGTCAAGTATCCATAATTGAATAATCATTCCAACAATCCACGTGACTTTGACATCAATAAAAATATCGTGGCGGCACAAGAAGTTTTTAAGATGCTCGTGAAACAAATTTCTCTGAGACGATTATTCTATTACACTTACACGTCCCACCTATATATACCATTTGTCACCTACCCTGGGGCGATCGATTGTTTTAGAAATCTTTCGGAATTGAATTGTGGTTCCGACATTGATTCTGAACTCCTTTATCGATTATCTCATATCTGTCAAAAAATACGAACGTTAAACGTGACCTTTGGCGAACGAATCTCAACCGGATTTTCCGATTTAATCTCAGTTCAACAAAGATTAAATTGTTTACAAATCTTTCAAACTTACAAATGTGAGAGTTTTACGAACATCATCCCATCATTCAAAAGTTTATCGAAGTCATTAACAAAATTTGAATTTTATGGTGGAAATCATCATAATCCCCCTTTATCATTCATAACGCAATTCACAAATTTGAGAGAATTGTATTTATTATTCAATCACAACGATTACTCGGTAAATTTTCGGGACGTCACCTTTCCGCACCTGCGAATCTTGGTGTTTAAATATTATAGTCCAAGGTTCATTAATTTAAATGAATTTTTAAAGATTAATGGAAAGTATTTGAGAGAACTTCAAATTGGAAAATCCAACAATTTGATAAACTTTTCCATATCAACATTCTGTAGGAATTTAAAATATTTACGTACAAACTTTCTATATAATGAGGGGAAAACGTTAATCAATTAATGACTCTCAAAATCTCATGTGAAAATTTCTATTTAAACGAAATCGAATTGTTAGAAATTGTCGCGGAACACTCCCCAAAGGGTTTCATGAATTGAAAGTATGCGCATGTTTGATAGGAACAAAGTTATTTTCGAAAAGGTCACGAAGAACGATCTTTACGGAAGATTATATCCCTCCAAGAACCCTTTCGATAAACCTTACGGTTGAATCGAATGCGACGGAAATAGATTATACATCGATTAATGAATTTAAAAAATTGTGCATAATTAAACAATTTAAAGTGATCGAGGATAGTTATTAGAATGGTGTGACAAAAACTTATTCATGCGAAAAGCAAAAATTATTTATTATAAACTGAACAATTTAATTATTTTCATTTAATCAGATCGGACAAAGGTATAGTAGTAACGGATGATGTAAACACACAAAGTCAAACATGAGAATGTTTAAAAATATACGCGTTAGACAGTGATGAGACTACGGATTTTAAATCGAAGACTAAACCAAAGTGAAAGAATACTCGATCACTTTCTTATAATTGAACAATTTCATAGTTTCAAATCAAAAAAAAAGAAAAAAAGATAATGATAATGGCCGCCGAATATATGGATCGTTTGCTATTTAAATGGAATTACGAACGTATGATCCGTAATGTGATTTTATAAAGTAAACCGCTCATAATATTTAATTGATGTTTTCGGTATTCCTTTAATGAACAAAGTTGCTTCAAAGTTTTTTGTAGTTGCCAATAAGCTTTTTCTTTCAAATACTAGTAAAGCTCGATCACGTGATTTTCGAAGCATGTTATCATATCAATGCCACTTTCTGTTTCAGAACCCTTTCTAGTACCAAAGCAAAAGTCGTTCGGTACATCGAGAATATAGATCATGAAATTGAAATAATCCATCAATATAAATCTTGATTTAATAATCATAAATTTTTAATGGAACAGGAAAATTTACCGATATACCTGGGTGTAATGTTAAAAGATAGATGGTGTCTGTTTTCTTTATGTTTTATAATGAATTGAATTCATCATGAGTGTGAAAGTCACGTTAAATCATGATTTCTATGACGACACGCGTCCAATATAATATCACGTGTTGACGTGTTGATTTCAATAATCACCATTACCTAATCATCATCAATAGGGTTAAATTTGGATATAAACGTGTTGTTGAAGAGCATTCCTTCTGTTGACATTCTGTGAAAGGCAAGAAGCTCTTTTTCACTAGCTTGACACCTTCCAATATCCTGTCTGTTCCGTGATTGACTTGCCATAAAGTCCTGCAAAATAATAACCTTTGAGGGACAGCTAGCATCGTTGATAAGCGTTGATTCAAAAGTCACTAACCAATGCAATTACGTTCTGTTTCCAATGACGTATCTTCTCATAAAAAGGAATCATACGTTGCGCAAATCAATGCTTTGTTCATCATCTTTAAACCAAAAGTGCCTTAGCATTTCGATAGAGGATCTCGGAACCTGTATTCTTTATTGTTATCCATGTCACCAGTTCCATGTCCCACACCAGGATATCCAAACGCCTTGTACACGGAAATATTATTAAAAGGCATTGATTGGATCTATCGATATATCAGGAAAAACCTATACGCTCATTTATTAAGGTAAGGATTAATTGACGTCTGTATTGGAATCATGTAGGTAGGTTTTGCGTGCATTGAATTGTCCAGAATATCATCAGGAATTGTTTGGATTAAGAATTGCGCTCGATGTGGCCTATAAAGCTGAAAATTCCAAATAAATTCCTATAACACTAAGATACTTAACAAACAAGAATGAATGGAAAAATAACTTTCCTTTAATATCCAATAGTTTCGTAAAGATTATCAACGATCTAACACTTTTAACTATTGCATTCCTAAAGAACATTCGCTTTCAAAATTTTTCCTAAAATTTCTTTTTGTTTCGACAGCTTAAAGTTTCAACATACAAAATAATAATTTCAATTTTTTCCAAGATTTGTAAGCTCCAAACACAATTGATTCTCAGATACTTAAATAAAGTAATTTTTAGTTTTTACTACTAATAAATTATATAAATTAATAAATCACAGATATTCTAATTCCTTCATATATTACGGTCTATATCGGAGTTAATTCTTGAACAATTTGTCTCTACCGGGAAACATGGAAAATAAATTGCGGACATCTATATTTCCTGTATTTCCAAAATTTTAGCTTCTTAAGGCTTTGAATTCCCATCCTTATAGACTTTTTGATTCATACTTCTAAAAATTAGAGATGATTTAAATTCGTAAGTTGTGTTACAAACTTATTTATGTATGGGCGATCATAGAACAAACATTACATCCCTAACCAAATCTGGGGTAAGTATCGTAACACAACATTAAATCGAAAAATTTATATCTCGTATCATCGTCAGTCGCGGGAATAGTTGCGGCGGTACTCGGTAATGAGGGTTCCCAGAACTGTCTTCGTTAGTTTCAGCTCAATCTTCATAAGGTATTTTTGGAAATTACATATTTTGTTCTTTGATACTTAATCTAACATTAAATTTACTTACGTTTCACTGCTTGTTGAAAATAGATTTGTTGAAATATTCTTTGGATATATTTCTTTCCTCGGAAGATGATTTCCCTGCTTTTATCATGAGAATAAGTGTACAATATTCTACGTATAATTTCATCCTAGCATTATGATTAATGATTTCGCCTGTTAATATTTTCTAATATCTTTATTTTATCATTTTAGTTCTTTACCTTATAAAGGTTACATTAGTGAACCCGTAAATTATCAATAAAATATATTTTTTTACTTTACCGTAATATCGGTAATAGGAATATTTACACATATCAAGTGAGATCATCCATTCCATCCAAAATAAATAGAATAATTCTTTGCCACCAGAATATTTCTATAAACAATAAGAATCAACAACTAGCCTTTAGTTTACAAAAGCAAATATTTCCAAAGACATTTAGCCTGGTCTGGCAATAAATTAGACGTTCATGTGGCGTTATCGTACCAATTATATTATATAACCAAAGAATTTGACATATTGATCGTCGATCTATTATTACGATATAAAGCTAATACTATTTATACTTGGATTATTTTTGTCTTAAAAGATCAAATCCACATTAAAAGCAATTATTTACCCGAAAATGATAAGATGGTTCCAAGGTAAATTCATTCGAGTAAGTATTAACAGAAATGAATTTTTACGCGTTTGGATTATAATTTATAACTAAATAAATTAATTTTCAGAACCAAGGTGTGAATTTTATTGAATTTCATAAACATGCGTTTAAACACGTAATATAATTTGCGTTTAGCTTTTACATTTGAGTTTCATTATTTGAAAATTGAAGCAAAATATGAACTAATTTATATTTTTTGAAGGAAACCAGAACGTTTTATTAAGATCGTTGTGCGTTTGGAGTATGAACATCGCAGAGAAGTCCTCCAAATGCTGGGAAAGCAATTTCCTGAATTATTTACCCCAAAGAAAGGCTCAACATACAGATCTCTGGGACTACGCGTGAAAGTTTCTTTTAAATTTTTTGGATTTAAAGTACCTCAGATAATTTAATTGAAGGAATTTAGAGAGGGAAAACAAAAAAAAAAAACTTTATTGTTTGTTAAAAAAAAAATATATATTACAATCTTTATTACATATTATAATAAAGACATCCGATATCAAAATAATATTATTCTTTCCAGCTTAGAAATAATGTATTCTATAAAGTTCAATAATAATTATTTCTTTTTTTATAAATTCGATAATTTCAATGACAACACATATCTAATCATAAATAAAAGCGACCTGATAAAAATACAAGTCAAATTTATCAAGTATCTCTAAAATCTATTCCTATAAATTATGTTTGGGCTTATCTTTTCTCGAGGGAAAAGGATTCAATGAGTTCCAAGAATCACTTGTAAACTCTTACGCTGTAAAATTCATAAAATTTTTTTTTTTTTTGCGCCAAACAAAAATCTCACGTTTTTACAATTCTAACTAAAAAATAATTAGATATGATTCATTCACTACTCGAATCGCTTTAATCACTCAAGCTCGACAACGTGAGCACATAAGTGATCGCCTAAAAACACTAAAAACACTAGAAAAACTTTCTTGACGTTTAAATTCTATAAATTTCTTTAAATATTAACGTTATATAAAATATTCAATGATATGGTATTGGCAGAGAAAAATTACATGTCGAGTTGATGTGGGTCGATGTTGAACAATTGAGATCACTCCAATATTTCTAATTCCCTTTCCCTTTCAGTTGTTACAGCTAATTTTTCAATTTTTTCTATTTCCTCTTTCGTACAAAGTGTTTCTACTTGTCTCGTTGCCAAAGAAGTATTATGATTAACCTTTTCCAATTCCCATAACGATTTATCAAGTTCTCTTTGTGATTTTCGAACACTTTCATTTAATTTTAATTCGGCCTCTCTCAACCTTACTCCTTCTTCTCTGATTTGCGCCAACTTTTCGAATTTAAATATATTGAGAAATTAATTAAAATATGTAAACGTAAACTAGAAATTTTTTTTTTTTTTTTTTCATTATAAACATTTACCTTTTCTTCAAGTACTGGCGCATAAGCAGGAATATGTACAATTTTTGGAGGGTGTGAAAAAAATTCTGGAGGAGGGCTATATGATGCGGCGGGAGGGAATGGAGGTCCAGAATATGGACGTTGATGATATTGTTGATGATGCATAGAATTTCCTCTTTTATAATTATTGTTATTATTATAATTATTGTAATTATTGTAATTATTATTATAATTGGGCCTATAATCTCGATTAGGTGGTCTAGGATATGGATTGTATGAATGTCCACCACGATAAGATGGTCTTCGTTTATATGGTTGAATATGAGATATTGGAGGTCTCCCGTATGGTTTTTGATCTCTTGTATTTCCACCATATGGAACTTGTCCTCTAAATCCGAATTGTGATTCCTCTTCTCGTTCGTCATATCTATCTAAAAGCATTTGTGGCTCTCTCATTTGATAATCATAATCTAAGTGATTATGAGGCATATAGTGAGAACTAGAACCATAATTATCCCTTTCTTGAGGGTAAAAATTATTATTATAAGAATTAGCACGGTGAGGTATGAAATCTCTTGGACGGTTATAGTTTGGTGGACTTCTACGTTGATCATTAGCTCTATCCATTATCTTCAAATTAAAAAAAAAAAAAAAAATTTGCAAATCCTAAAAAAAAAAAGAATTGCTAAAACAAATTCTATTTTTATAGATTTTTTATAGCATTACAAAAATTCTTGTATAACCATACTTCTTTATGGGCAAACGTATGTCCGACAGAGTAGATATAATTGGTCGAAAGAATCCAAGTAAAAAGAGTTTTGTATCCAAATAAATCATTTAATTGTTCTAATATATCTTTAATGAAGATACAAATCAGGTCATTTTATGCTAAAATCTTTTAAAAAAGTTGAATTTTAACCGGTGATAATCACATAAAAATCCGTACAAGGTTACTCGTTACCAAAAAGAGATTAGTAACACGGTAATTGTTGAAAGAAAAAGGCATTTATAACTTATTATTTATTTTTATAAATTTCTTAATAACAAAAAAAAAAAAAAATTATTCATTTTTAATAAAAACAAATAGCTTATTTACTAATTACTGTTAACTCTTAATATTTATCTAATCATTTAATTAATATTTATAGATAATCAATTTTATATAAATATTAAATTATTATTTTAAATTAATATGTAAAATTTATTTATTTATTCATATTAATATTAGATAAAATATTTAATAATTTAATATTTTCTTAACTTTATTTTATATTTATTATTAATAATTTTACTAATAAATATCTATTAATAATATAAATTTTATAGCAATTAAACAAAATATTTAGTTATTTAAGTGTTATTATAATAATATTATTTTAATTGATAATTAATATTAATTTTAATTAATAATTTTATAAATGAAACTTATATTAAATAAAAATATGTTTAGAATAAATTTGCTTAAAAATTAAAATTAATAAAAATTTTAAAGTTATAAATTTAAACATATATAAGAAAAATGTTAGAAAAATCAAATTCTAGAAAATTTTAACAAAATTTAATTTTTATTGCATTTTAATTTTTAATATTATTATATTAAAATACAATAAGATCTTAATTTAGTTAAAAAATTCTCAAAGTCTGATTTATTTAGCAATCTTTTTAAAGATATTAAGTGATCCTTAATCTATTTTTATATTTAAAAAATTATTAATTATAAAAAAGTTTAATCTTTTATCTATAATAAATAATCTTATCAAAAAAAATGGTTTATAATTAATTTGTAAAAAATGAAAATGATATTCAAATTAATAATTTTGATTAGATTATTAAATATAAAACTAGTCATAAAAATCTAGTTCTAAATTCTAAAATTTTAATTTTAAGAAATTCTAAGATTTAAAGTGATTTTATTATTTATTTTTATTAAATATCATTAAAGCATTATAATAAACAAATTTAAATAATAATTTATAAAAATAATTTTTTTGAGACTTTTAAAATCATTTAAAATCATTTAAT